ATTCAGGTGTTGCTAAACGAAGCCCTCTTCAAACATGTTTAGAATTCCCCAAACAGTCAAGAAGAGCAAAACTTTGTACTGAGTTAAACGAGAAACCTAAGCGCCTTCGTCCCATACCGGCATAACGAGTGCCTACGTAACGACTAAGTGTAGGTTACATGTGCTTATCAAAATACATAATTAACACGAGAGGTACCTAATTCTTTTCTGAATTCTAAAAATCCCCCTAGAAACGAAGCTCGAAAACACCTTGCAACAAATGCTGAATGCATAATCCATTGCTTGCAAACTAGTCTGAGTGGTCACAATATCTGCTCGCATCTAAAAATTCTGAATTTGGGAGACTGAGAGAACCGCAAAGCACTGCAATTTGCCAAATAGTAATATAATATTGGAATGCCGCTTCTGTTCTCCACACTAAGCAGTACTTTTAGGAATATCACAAGCTACTGAAGTTGTAGCCATAGAACGGGAAAGAGAAAATGCAAGCGAATATGATAAAAAAACAGCAAGGGTAAAAAAAAATCAGCACCGTTTAAGCCTCGTAAAATAAGTAACAGGAGTTGTTGCGAAGGATGGAATTGATTTGCACCGAAAATCCGAAAATATAATGCACATGGCGGAAAGCTTGCTTTCCTCTAAGACAAAACTTCCAGTACACAGCATAGAACGCAACCGACAAAGCACACCCAACCGCCCAGTGTCCCATACAATGCATTTATCTATCTGTTTTGCCGACAATCGCAGGCTCGCCGTATTTATAGATGGTGGGCGCGCTCCTCCCTGCGCCAAATTGCAATAAGCATTTGACCGACGAACAGTCTGGGTTACTGTAAAGCGCCAAATATTTCCTTTCGAATTCTGCGCGCCAGGTGATCACTGAAATTTGACCAGCCATCCTACAGTCTTAATCTCGTGTTTATCTGTTTTATAATTAGGGTATCCCGTTGCTTAGATTTTCTGTCCAGTTTTGTATAATGTAGCAGTTACCATTGAGTTGCATGAATCCATCCTGTATCGACCAGTCGTTTTCGACTGAAGGCGTCTTTAAACAAATTTTTGTCACTTGAAACAATTTTCTATCCCCTGGAATCACATCAAATTGTCCTTTAAAACCCCCCTCTTTTTGATGAATACGAAATACCGGGAAATAAAGTACACAGTAATGATGACTGCTTTTCTGTTAAGATTTTTAAGATTAGTCAGGTACCAGATTGTTTGTAATGTAAATTGTTTTGACGTCTTGTGGGGGGAAGGACTTGAAATGACGGCAGACATATCAGTGAGTTGTTTCAGAAACCTCATTCTTTCGCACTTCTGGTATAGTAGCGGTTAATTTGACAAAGGCATACATCATTTCTAAAGGCTCGCAATAGGAAAAAATTCTGGACCCCGGGTCTCATTGCAGTAAACGTCAGTAAATGAAAAAAAAAAAAGAACAAATTTCGTTTTTGCAGCTGATTACCTTTGACAATTTCGCTACCTCAGTTTATGGACAGCATGTGCTTGGACGTTTACTGCTCCAGATGGACTTAGTGAAATAAACTAAATCAAGCACTCAAGACTGCCGAACTGGCAGAAGAGATGGTGGAGGGCACCAAGTTGCATGAATTGTTCTGCTTACTAGTAGCAGCAACGGTTTTCGGTGACACTAAATTCTCTTTATAGGCAAGAAATAAGTTACTCATTTTTTTGATTACTAGTTCAGTTCAATGCCTAATTGATTTTTTTTTCCATCTTAACAAACACAAACCCTTATATGAAGTGAGCAGAACTCATCATAGCACTTAGCACCTTACCGGAAGGAATATTTCAAATTAGGTTTGTGAAGTTTTTACCTCTTCATGCAGGATAGTTATCCATCAGCATATTCGGTGGTGGCTTCATGGAAATCGCAGCTCAAGCATGCCCTTCCGGACATGGTAAGTTGTCCAAAGAAGCTTTGAATATCTGATAAAACACCTTCAGCAATACACATTTAGCACAACGCCTTTAAAATCAAGTTAATGGTTGACCCAAACCAAACATTAAATCCTAGCTTTGCAGATAGGTCAATGTGGACATACCAGAAGAAATTAAGGTGTTAAAAGTGCAACTTTTGGTATTGAATATATGGGTTGTCCTTTCATTTGCTTGAGTAATTAACCAGAGAAAGAACTTGACTTAAATCAGCAAAACCCGTACAATATCAGTAAATAATGCTACTGACGTTTTTAAATAGTACCGAACTGTTTTGAAAAGATTTAACTCCCGATTGGAAACTGAAACGAATTTGTTTTGAAGAGAAATGCAGCCGATCTGGTATGATGCATGATTTCAGAATTAACCTCTTCTAAAACTCCCTTAAACCTGGACGAAACAGTCTTCTGAATTCTATCCCGGAACGTATGTGGCAGATGAAAAATCTTTGACACATATACTGACATTTATAATAAGTGAAAAGTGCCCTGCACTTATGCACAGAGATGTACAAAACGTGCGATTGTAAAATTACGGATTCCATGATGAAGTTAGCTGTGGAGTAAGTATCAAGAAAAACCGAAATACTTCACTCATTTTGTGAAAACATGTATTAAGTACATGGAGAGGTCTCGACGACACAAAGAGTAAGCTTAAGGGGGAAAAGAGCAATTGAGACAGAATAGTGGGGGAAAAAAGAATAAATTACACAGAAGAAAAAACTACACTTATATAGATTTAAAAAGTACAAATAATGCGTCACTCAAAAGAAAATGTCAAAGAAACGTAGGCCAAGCGGAAAAGTCAGCCAAATGGTTCCTGCAGACTTTGGTACGTTGCAACGAGCAATTTGGAAAATCTTTTAGGGTTCTCCAACTCGAAAGAGAACTGAGCACCAGCGCCTAAATAAAAGAAAAAATTGATTTTTCTGCTTCAACAAAGCAGTAGTATTTGAGCTCTAACAAAAAAAAGAAAGTTGCCGATAACACTTCTAACAAATATTACCTTCAAAAACTCCTTCGGACCGACCACAAGCATCCTCATACTCCTCTTTCAAATTGGGACCAAGAGAGTCTACTAATTTTTCAAAAGGCCTTTCCAAAGAGCTAAGTAAATTTGTGCACATCGAGTTCTGAGAATTCAAAGTTTTTATAATCTGAAAAAAGGTGATCACTATGCGTCTTTTCCCCTGCTTACAGTAGCGATCAAAGGCGCAAATCACTTTAAAGGATAAGCTACACCTATTCACTGAACTGAAGAGAAACCAAAACAACCTCCTTAGTGGCAGTTTCTAGATCAACTCTCGTTTCAAATTCCTCCATATCAAATTCATCTGACGCAGATTTGCCCGGAACGCTGCGAAGCCACCTGTCAACTTCGTTACAGAACGAGATGTTAAAGTCAGAAAATCTGTAAACATATACTGAAACCAACTTCAAATGAAGGTAACTCTTTTCTAGCTTAAAAATGCTTTCGACTGCTATTCGTCTTACTATCTTACTATCACTATCGTCTTACTATCGTCCTACTATGCTTTCGTCTTACTATCAAATGTGAGATGATTAGACCCTGAATGAAGTTTTATTCTTCATTACCCTTCAGTCAAATTAACTGATGGGGCGACCATTTCTGCACGGCAGCCCTCAAAACAGGGACTTAGATGTACAAAGTTTCCTGCTTCTTTATCTTTGAACACAAGCCTCTTCAGTTTCTGTTTTAATGGAATCGTGAGGGAATTCTGGAGGGGAGTCAGCTTACGGAATCTGAGGATGGATAGAAAGTCACGAATCTCATTGAAACTGGACTGTTCTGCGTAGTCACAGTATAGAACTTTCTCACCTCTGGAAAATGCATAAGCATAAGTACTTTCAAGCTTTTTCAATTCCAATTTCATTATTTTTGATAGCAAATTAGTCTGGATTGCCGTAACCAAAATAAAGCTTAATGACAACAACCTTCGACGTTGCTACACTCAAAATTTGAAATTTACAAGTTGAAACTCTGAGTTCGATTTTGATTTGCTTACATAGAAAACTAAGAAAAATATTTATTATGAAATTCCTAGACTGCATACAAAGCAAACCAGGTCTAAAACTGTTAATCGAATTGAAAAAAAAAAGTAAATTTAAAAAATGTACAATGTTAAACCCAACACACTTTGAAGCTGCAGCGCATTCTGAAACATTATGTGTACAGACATTAAGCTCTAAGATGCGAAAGTCTCTTCTCGCCTCTGACATAGTTTCCTCTTTTTCCTCCAACATTTCTCTAGCGACACTGACATAAAAAAGGAGTAAAAGCGTTTTTCACATACTGAGAAAAAAAATTGCAGTGGTACTCTATTCCTTTGGGGAGAAACTTTCTAAGATACAACAAAAGACCAAAAAAAGAAAACTTGCCTAAAAAGCTGACCTCGCCAATGAGATCAGTAAATTTGTAAGTTTCTCAAAGCCTTAAAGGTGAAATATTAAACATAACCACTACCTCCTTTCTACTGTAAAAATCCTACATTCCGTTTCATCGGTGCCAAACGAGTTCTTGGGGTAAATGATGTCAGCAACTTTTTTGCTCAAACGAAACAATCTTATACGCTCCTAAAAGTTATTTAGCAACTAGTTAGCGAAACATCATCACCTAATAGCTCTGTTTTAAATACCGAAACTTAAAAATGTCGCCATATGTAAATAAACGTTTGTTCTGTAAAAAAAATGACTCGCACCCAGTCGTCGAAGAATAAGTGCAGTTCACTGAAGGTAGAAAAACGCTCTAGGAAATGACCAATTTCAAAGCGATAAAAGAGGTAAATTTAGAGCTGCGCCTCTTGTTACTACGAGCCAGTTTGCATAAGGCACATAAGGCTCGCGCCCCTTATCGCCAGTATCCCTACTACCCTTCAGTTTTGCTCACGTTCTACAATTTTTTGATAAATTTTATGTTTTTCACAAATAAATAAAAGACGCCTGTTTTACTTACTAGACTGTATTATCAACTCCAGGCAATCTGTAAAGACTGAAGGCTTTTTGAGATAAAAAGCTGCAGAGGGCTTCAAATTTTCAAAACAATTGAATAAATTGAATTGAACTCACCAGATTTTCAGTGGATAAAAGAGGTTAAATAGAGTATGTGATTTTGAATTGAAAAAAGTTAATATCAAATTTAAAAAAGAAAAAAATAAGAATACAAGTGGAAAAGTAGGTGAAGTATATCGCGAAAAACATTATTGACAAATTAAAGAATATTGTTTCCAAATTAAAAGAAAAAACGAAACATTTAATCTCTTCGAAATCTCTTCCAAGAGATCAAAGTTCAACAGTGGGAGGGTGACGATGAAAATAAGGGTGTCCTTAGAAACAGACATGATACACTCGACAGCTCTATCTACTGTCGAACAGCGTTCAGGGAATTCAACGACTTCCGATTCCGCATACTTACAGTCTAATGATACACAACCAAAACTGTACTGAAATTAAATTCTTCAGTACTAAAAACCAAAACCAACTCCACAACAAAACGCTAATCGCATCGGCTATGCCTTTTTTGAAAGCATATACTGCAACAAAAAAATATACAAACAAAGAGAAACATTTGGAAGTCCTACGAAGTTACGACATGAAATTGAGACGGACATAAAAAAATACCTTTTTTAGTAATGAAACTGTGTTCACTTTCATATAAAAGGATGAGTCTGCGCGAAAATAGCCAGTGTACAGAACCGGACTGCCAGGTATTCGTGAACTTTCAAAAATAAACATAACAGCACCCGGCACATAGTTACTGTCCAGCAAAGTTACTGTAAACTCATCAAAATGATACGGAACATTTAGCCTAAGAGGTCTTAACCGTGAACGGTTCAATAAAAAATTTTCATTTCCTTCAGCAAGAAGCGTTGGAAGAACCGCAGCAGTTTGTGGAGAACAATAAATCGGCAAACCCGACTCTGACTGGAAAAAAAGCACTCCTTTTTTAAACGTAATGCAGAAAAGCTTAATTATTAAAAAAAAATCCTTCCTGTCAATTGGAAGGTTAAAAGTTAGTTCAAAGCACCAAAAAGCTTGAGACTGTTAGACAGCCACGGCCAAAGACGAAAGATTTCCCATAATCAGCATATTCTTTTCAAAAAATTTCCAAAAAAAATTTCTACTTACACGTATTTCCTCGTAACACTTCTGATTCGCATGGCTCAAAAATCTGTACCTTATTCGGCTATTTTTCTTGAAGTTATCAACCGCTATAAACCCGCCAAGCACATATGGCGGCATCTCTTGATTTCCCCGTAGATTCAGCCCCAATGTAGAATCACGTCTACGCTAATGCTAACAGTACAAGAGTGTTAAAAGTTACTACTTCCTTTATACTTCTCCGTGACAGAATATAACTGAATCGTTCCAAAATCTAAAAATTTCCATTACTACAAAATATGAAAATTAGAATAAGACTCCAAAAGAGAGGCCAGACAGTACTGATCACAAAAACGATGCATAAGAGAGCAACCAGAGGAGAAATGTAAGCATGGAAAACGTTTTAAAAAAGCAAGCGTATGGTGCAGGTCAGGAGCGAGTAGCGAAGAAAACGTAAAAGGCCAAATATGCAAGTCTTCACAACAGCTTTAAAGTACAAATCATACATATAAATAAACATATATATATATATATGTATATATATATATATTAAATATAAGTATAGATACATATATAT